TACAGCTTTTAGTTAGAAAGAATTTTACTCCTCAACATAAATTACAGCTTTTAGTTAGTAAGAATACTACTTCTTAACATAAATTACAGCTTTTAGTTAGTAAGAATCCTACTCCTCAACATAAATTACAGCTTTTAGTTAGTAAGAATCCTACTCCTCAACATAAATTACAGCTTTTAGTTAGAAAGAATCCTACTCCTCAACATAAATTACAGCTTTTAGTTAGAAAGAATCCTACTCCTCAACATAAATTACAGCTTTTAGTTAGTAAGAATACTACTTCTTAACATAAATTACAGCTTTTAGTTAGTAAGAATACTACTTCTTAACATAAATTACAGCTTTTAGTTAGTAAGAATACTACTTCTTAACATAAATTACAGCTTTTAGTTAGTAAGAATACTACTTCTTAACATTAATTACAGCTTTTAGTTAGTAAGAATACTACTTCTCAACATAAATTACAGCTTTTAGTTAGTAAGAATACTACTTCTTAACATAAATTACAGCTTTTAGTTAGTAAGAATCCTACTCCTCGACATAAATTACAGCTTTTAGTTAGTAAGAATACTACTTCTTAACATAAATTACAGCTTTTAGTTAGTAAGAATACTACTCCTCAACATAAATTACAGCTTTTAGTTAGTAAGAATACTACTTCTTAACATAAATTACAGCTTTTAGTTAGAAAGAATCCTACTCCTCAACATAAATTACAGCTTTTAGTTAGTAAGAATTCTACTTCTTAACATAAATTACAGCTTTTAGTTAGTAAGAATACTACTTCTTAACATAAATTACAGCTTTTAGTTAGTAAGAATACTACTTCTTAACATAAATTACAGCTTTTAGTTAGCAAGAATCCTACTCCTCAACATAAATTACAGCTTTTAGTTAGTAAGAATCCTACTCAACATAAATTACAGCTTTTAGTTAGTAAGAATCCTACTCAACATAAATGACAACTTTAAGTTAGCAAGAATCCTTCTCTTCAACATGAATTACAGCTAAGTTAGCACAAGCCAGGTCAAGATTTTGACTTGATGAGGTACTAAGCTATATAAAGCCCTAAGGCCCTACCGTTTTTAATAACATCATTTAATCGCAGAAAAATAAAAAATATATTCACCTTTTCAATATAGGATTAATGGAAATGTACTACCACTTATTTTTTTTTATCAAATGAAATAATAAAGAATGTGCTTGCAAAATCAGAAAAATTATATTATATATTCCTTTAAAATAGTAAAACATGTGTTGTTAAAAATTTCATTTATCTAAATAATAATATAAATATATTTTTTTAAATTGCATTTTTTAAGGAAAAAAAAGAAAATTTTTTTAGGTCCATGCAACAGTGAGGGCTCTTTGGGAGCGAGTGAACTGTGTGGAGGTACAGATAGATCATTACGGTCGAAGCAGGATGGTGCTGCAAGGAGTTATCAAGGGATCTGGATGACGCTCAAAACTCAGGGGAAGGATGAGATGGATATACAATCAGACAGTTACTGGTGCCATCAAAATGGAACTCTTTGCTTGCTGCTGAAGATGTGGAAGGAGTGCTTATCAACTGCCAGAAAGCTAGCATTAGCTTTTAGCTAACACAGATTTAAAAAAATTGTTAATTGCATTGGAACCCACAGGGACATAGGAATAAAGGAAGGCCAAAAAACACATGGAGAAGAGAGCTGGAGAATGAAGTTAGAAAGATGGGGAAGACATGGGGAGAGCTCCATGCAATGGCGAAGGATAGAACGACTTGGCGTGAGTTGGTTGAGGGCCTATGCTCCATTGGGGCCTTGAAAGGCTGAAGAAGAAGAAGAAGAAGAACACAGATAATGACTTTATACATAGACTGCATCATTCACCTGAGGCAATCAACTTTTTAAAAAGATAATAATTTGATAATAATTGTAGCATAATTTGCTTGTTGAGTCTTGTCTTGAAAAAAAAAAAAGGATTCTCTGCTTCATATTTTCTACTGCCTTTTATCTTCCAAAGAACTTCAACTCTTTCAAACCCAAACAATGTGATTAGTACTTCTGTTAATCCCAGCCAGCGTGTAACACGTTCTAGTCCTTCCCACATCTGGCATGGCATGCAAAGAAATCTGGCTTCCCCAGTATTTAGGCAATACACTCATGGTTATTTCCTACTGTTTTTTATACATATGGTATTTTCCAGTAAAACCTTCAGGCACTCAATGAGGTAATCTACTCCCATCAAGTAAGCCTATTCTTTGGCATGATATGCGTAATTTCTTCCCTAAAAATTAGTTTGTAAAAAAAGTTTTTTAAGTGTGTATATTGAAACTCAAAATATGCTTATACACATATCCTTACGTCCTTTTTAGGACGTAATTTTTTGTTATTTGAAGCCCCACTCTGGCTTTTGCCAGGGGCCGCAATATAGGCAGGCCATAAATATGGCTAATTGTCTGAACGCGGTTTCTGGGACCTCTCCACGGCGATCCTCATCCACATGGTGGTACTTTGTGTCATCGGGTGTTTATCGCTTGTGTGATGTCCTAGTGGGGTAGAAAGTCAGTCAGTCAGTCAACTCAAAATAAAGACAAATCTCTTTTCAACAAATGACACCAAATGACAACATCAAATGACATCACATATACCACCACAGATGACATTTGCTTGATTTCTAATACTTAAATAAACACTGCCTATAGCTGCAGTGATGGTGTCATTCTAAATACAGTTATGTCATTATTTTAAAGAACTCATGTGACGTGAATGGCCAAATGCTTATCTACTGAACAAAAGGTCCTGTGTTTTTAAATTTACTTGGGCTCTCAGGTTAACTCAGTTTAAAATGGGTTCCAGGAAAAGTTCTGGGAAGTGAAGCTGGCCGCCATATCTTCAACTGAGTGCAGACTGATGAATAAAATTATTGATCTACCACCATATACTCTATATGCCTATCTCTACTGCGTACAAAATGCGACTCCCGCAACCCACATGGAGAATTTCAGTTAATATTTATTTGTTTAGCTCTTTCTCAAAACTCTACATCACAGAACTTGTCATTCTATTTATCTGGCTTTATTCTGCACAGGCACTGGATAATAAATATGTGTAGTCACTACTGACAGTCAGCCTATGGATCATGCTGATATTATCAATGCCCTCAGAGAAATGGGAAGGATAGAGGACTTTGGCGGCAGTGAATCCACATCACTTGCCAGAATGGCAGACTTTGGAATTAAGATCAGCACAGCAAAAAACGAGACGCACACCAGACACGCCAGAAGACTTGTAAATCAACATAGAACTGGTACTATTAGCCATCGGACGTTGGGGTTCATACTAAGGGGAGGATCTGAGCACCTATGGACATGTCCGGAGTGCAATGATGATAACCCAACTAACTAACTAACTAACAAATATGTGTAGTTAGTTAATTTTCTCACAAAATATGAATAATTAGTCCAGATTTCTAAGTAGGTCATCACAATTCTCTACCAAGATCCTAGCTGTAGAGAATCTGAAATCTGATTTTTAAAGCTCTTTTTTTTATTTATTTTTTTAATGGGAATAATGAGGGTGCTAAAATGTTACATAGAAACTTTTCTGCTGTATGGCAGCGAATCTTGGAATGTCAGTGAACAAATTATGAAGAATTTAGAAGCAATAGAGATGTGGTTTCTGAGACAAATGTTACGAATACCTTGGACGGCCAGAGTAACTAACAATGATTGCTTGAAAGAAGCTAATGAAAGTAGATCTCTATATACAACAATAAGAAAGAGACAAACACTGTTCTTTGGCCACATAATGAGAAGAGATATATTAGAGAACATTGTGACAACTGAAAAGATCAATGGAAAAATGGGTAGAGACAGACCAAAAGAGATGATGCTGAATGGGCTGACAGAATGGCATGGAGGGATATCATCAAGAGAGCTGTTCCAGGCAACCAGGGATCGTGATATGTGGAGACGCATGAGCATTTACGCCAGTTAGCAGGGCACATGATGATGATGATAAATGGGAATAAGATCTAAACTGTAATAATTGAGATGGGTACATTGTGAATATTTAAATGAAATTATTCATATCCAGAATTCTGTAATAAGATTAGGTCATAGCTCTACAAACTGTGTGTTACAACACATACTGCTGTGTGAAGGTTGTCTACTGAACTGGTGTTATTCAGCTGGTATTATTTAGATTGTTTCATTTGTGTTAATCATAAATTATACAATGAAATGAATCTTTGAAATGTTATCTATTTTTAAAACAAATGAAAGGTTTTCAAGAGATATTTTGTGTCATAAAAACATTTAGCTATTGCTATTTCTATTTCTGTCTGCATCTCTTATAAATAGGTTAGTTTTACCTCTGCTTTGCCAGTAGATTGAATTACCCTGTCATGAAACTTTGGTTTGTCTAAAAAGTGGGTTACCAACATGAAAAGTTTAGAAAACTCTGGATTAAGTAAATACTGATGTTAGAAAATGTAGTAAACTATTCCTCACATTTGTAATAGTTTAAAAAAGGCATGAACTTTGTAAGAGTTCATGTATGCCAAGAAGTGATAACAATCAAAGATCAGTCACGAAGCCGTTATATTATTAGATGACGCTTTAATCTGAACAAGGGTCATTAAATAATGACTAAAATCTGGATTTTCAAATTAAATTTATACCAGAACCCACAGGAAGGTGATACTGATTACACTAAATAGACAGATATCTACAAACATTTACCACCAGTGTTCAGCATATATAGGAATTTCGACAGCCTTAAACCTCGTCATTTAGTGTAGTCTTTTATGTACCTTATAACTGTCCATGTTTTTTTTTGTGTAAGCTGATGAAGGCCTTTTAGTTGCAACACCCATGTTTTCTTTCCTGATTGTGTTTTACTGGGGAAACTGGCTAGAGCTAATTTTTTTTTAAGATCTGTTTTTTTAATGATACAGATAATTAGCAAAAGTCATGTGTGGGTATACGCTGCCGATGTTGTGACTGTGAGATAAACAACAATGCAGCAACTACCTCTGCTTCTGAAGCTGCTTGTCGCTGCTGCTCTAACTGCCTTTGTCTTCGCCTGTCCTCAAACTCTTGCACTCGCCTTTTGTTCTCTTCAATTTGCTCTCTCAGTAATGAATCCTCAATCTGCAAATATAATATTTCACAGCATATAATATTTTTTTTTAAAAAGAAAGAACAGAAAACAAAGAAGCAAATGAATATCAGAGACAAAGTGCCACAGTTAGTTCATGTGCCAAACAGTGATCTGTTCTTGACCAGCCAGGAGACATCTGTTCTCTGCAGCTGACAACAGTTGTAAAATTAAGGGTTGGGGAGTGTGCATTTATGCTTAAATTTTCAGTTGTTAATTGACTGCACAAGTGTAAGAAAGGCTGCATGGAGGATGATGCCAGCGCCCTCTGCTGGCCCAGGTGGTACCCCCACTGTGTTTGAGTCATACCGCCAGCTGATTTCCTTCAGTCAGCCAAGATGCATGGTCCCATAATAGCATTTAAAAACAGCATGCCAAGATGGAGTTTGCAATCATGTAAATCACCTGGCCCTTTTGTCTGTAATTAAAATGATGGAAGTGATGTGTGCTCCATTATTATACCCCAGTAGTGGCGACCAACAGCTGAGCAGGATAGCCAAAGTTCACACACAATACTCACTTCATAAAAGCATCTCCTTCCATCCCCAACTTTGAACAACAAAAAATGATGAAAGAAGGGCATATAATCAGCTGCATTTCTTAAAGAGTGTGAATAAAGAAAATCTTAATTGGATTCAGTTTTGTAAAGATCACAGGGAGGCAAAGAAAGGTGCCATCTTGCATGTGCATGTGTGCCTCCAGGAAGACAGGCCATTTGTTCTGAGCAAGTCCCTCAAAGCCATTCTCCTGAAAGCTGGCAAGAACTGTAAGACAGCTGAGCAAGAAACATGTACCCCAGTAAATATTGATTTTTTCCTTTGTCTTTTCAGCCCCCATTGTCTGTTACAAGTGCAAGTTGCTGGCAGGCCCCAGAATCAGCAATGCATGTAACAGAGCTCAATGAACAACATAAGCCCAACACTTGACTGGGAGCCAGCTTTCTTCAGTCTTTCTTCTAGTTTTCTTCTTGCAAATCTTTGTTTGAATTCTGTTCACTGTTCAGGTCAATCTTTTCCCGATTCTGCTTTATTTTAAGCAGATGGAAGGCTAGGCAGGAGGGAGGTCTGGCAAAGGATTTTTTGTTTTGTTTTTGTTTGGGCAGTTCAAAAAAAGCTTCCTGCTTGGGACAAAGGCCACTTTAATGCATCCTGCTAGCTGCAATGATGCATACTAAAAGAAAGAGGATGGTGACTTAAGAAAGCTCAACATATGGGCTGCAATTACAACTGATAATTTGTGCTGTTCCCAAAAAAGTGAACCCCAAAGCAACAATGAAGTTAGCCTACAAATCCTACTATGATTCTCAGTTTTCTTTGTTAGTGTTCTATTTTTGGCTTTATAAAGATATTCAGTAATACCAAGTTCTTCCTTTGCCACCTCCTGATGTAGATGACAAATGAGAATAAAATTTGAAACAGTAAAATAATTAATTCTGCGAAATTTTAATCATGTACATTAAAAGGTTGGGGGGAAAAGGCCACATTACAACAAAGGGAGGTAACTCTCCTTTTCTTTGTTCCCTGTATTCTGTTTGTTTGGTTGTCTTTCTTGCTCAAACTTGATAATTAAGATAGTGAGTATTGACATGATCCGCCTCATATTTTTAGGGAACATATTTTCTATACTTTTGGCGCCTGCTTCTGTGCAGGTTTGGTAGGCTCACATTATATATTTGATCACGATGGTAGAAACTAATGCAAATTATGACTACACAATCACAAACTATCCAGGCTGGTTTTCTTAACGTCTACTCATTAGCCCACCCACAATGGACGACAGGGTACTATGTAACAGTAGCAATAGCTCCAAGATTACTGTTTCATGGAGTTACACTGGGTTGATGGCATTCGCTTCTCTCGATTCGTATCCTAACTGTGGTTCCTGTGGTAATAAGGTATCAATTTTTCAAGCGGCATTTCCAAAGAGAAACCAATTTTAAAACGATTCATCAGAAGTCCGGGTAACTTTAAGACGCAGTCCATTCCACGCTGGACTGCAGGTTACTTCGTGGCGACCCAGTATAATTATGCTATATGGCTAAAGGGTTCAACGGGGATTGTGGAACTTGTAGCTGTTTGATTGTCATCCGTGAGGTGTTAACCCTACAAAATGCAAATCTGGAAGCAGGAAAAACTTCTTTTTTTTTTTCAATTATTTGAAAAAAGAAAATAACACACACACACACACCACATAATACCCAAATCACCTAATCTGGAACATTGTGAACTCTACATCCTGCTAAGTTAGCCGTTACATATACTTCAATTATATATCTTTTTTTTCCGGGGGTTTTGAGGTTGAACAGGGTATATGGGAATTCCCCCCATCACTTTGCCTTATAAGATAAGGGATCTGATCGTTAGGTAACAATCCGACGGGAGGTAACAGAAGTAAGACTCTCTGCTTGTTCAGTCTGCGCCACCGTGAAATCTCCCTTCAAATTGCCTTAAACTGCTAGTACACTGTATTGTCAGACAACGAGTGATGGTTTGTATTAACCTGCCTCGCTTGAGAGTTGATTCAAGAACCGACATCACAGCACTCGGGGCATTCCCATAAGCGCCTCCGTCCCCATTCTCAGCAGCCAGTGAAGACTTCCGATACTCATGGTGCCAGTAGCATTCTCATTAAACGTCCGTCTTGCCTTTCCTCTGAGCCTCGAGCATCTACCATGCCCTCTCGTCACTCCCCGCTGCATCACTTTCACCAGACTGTGGTGATCCATCTGCTTCTCCGAACTGTACACGCTCTCCTACAAGGCACTAACCATGTCTGCCTTATCATGCATCAGAATTCCGCCAAGTTGTGCAGAACCAGCCAGTCTGTCTGTCTGTTCATTTCCCAAACACATCGGAGTGTCCTTCCAACTCCTTGTGCTTCTAGACTTGCAATCTTGCTCGTATACACGTTAAAAAGCACAGACGAGACCCGACTCGCTTTTGTCCACAAACGACCTTTGTCTCTTCTTGTTTTCTCTGCGTTCAACTCATTCATCCTTACAAATGCGATCTCCTGTGTGGGTTCCAGGGCCCCATTGTGGGGAAAACAAGAATAGACCCACTGCCTCCCCAAAAGCATGTCGTAAGAGTCGACTAACTGGGGAGCTTCCTTTGAAGTCGAAGTGCATCTGTCTGAGAGGCAAGGAACCAGCAGTCTTAGTTAGTTAGTCTTTCCTCTTGTGTCGAGTGCGGCACATAGGGCAGAGGTCATGACTCTCCATGCATGGCGGTTCGTTGCAATCTGTTGTAGGTCTTGGATGTTTGAGTGGCCCATGAGCGAGCCTTCCCTGATGATAGTTCTACGTAGGGTTTTCCCTTGGTCTTCCACGACAGATCTTTTCCCCTGTGGTGGTCCAAATGAGGGCTTGGTAAGGAAGTCTTGATTTTATCCATTCTAAGGGCGTGGCCGACATAGTTCCAGCGGGTTTTTCGTATAAAATTAGACACATACTCTTGCCTGGATTCTTGCCTTTATTTGTGTATTGGTTCGGAATCTGACCATTTGAAAATTTAGTATTCTTCTAAGGCATTTATTTTCAAAACTGTCTAATTTTGTGTCTAGAGTTTTCGTTGATTTTCAGCTCTCGCATCCATAGGTTAGTACTGGAATCACACAAGAATTGAAGATCTTGAGTTTTGTGTGTTTGCTAAGTGTCTTTGATTTCCAGATGTTGGACAGTTTATTGAAGGCACTAGATGCCAGTGCTATTCTAAATGGTATTTCTGGTGCGGTATCTCCTGTAGATGACATCTTGCTCCCTAGATAAGTGAAACCAGCAGTCTGCATTCAGTTAAATCAGATCCGTAAAACTGATGCACACGCAACACTCAGGTTCTGGAGCAGGACTGCAGTTCAGAAGTGGACGAACAGCCAGAACTGTACGCCAGAGTGTACAGCTGGTGAACGCGAAGAAGAAAAAGAAGACAAATGCGGTTTCCACGTTTGCTTTGTGGTTTATAGATAGCCTTCTATACATGCGCCTTTTTGCCCAACACATTCGATTTTAGCAAATCCCTGATTAGCCGTCTTCTCTTGCGACATGCTTAAGGCTTATTCTCTCCCCTACCCTATGTGATCCTGAACCATGCAGGAACTTTCTTCCTACTTTCCTTTTTACAGACGTCAGTCACAGACCTTATCTACGCTGATTATTTTGATGTTAGTTGTGTATCCTTCACAGGGCGTTTTTTTTTTTTTTTTTGGGGGGGGGGGGGTTGGGGGGTCATCATTGTTCTCGGCAATTAATACGTTCAGTAGTTCGCCATTGCCAACCAAACGGTCCGTGTTCCATACGAATGTCGAAATCACCGCAAAACGGTCTGCTGACAAATCGCCGGCAGCTGGAATCGAACCAGGTACTCCGGTTATACAAAACCCGATTCTCTATACATGTCCGCTTTATTCCATTTTTCCGATGCAATTTTTTTTTTTTTTTTTATTTTGAAGCCCCACCCTGGCTTCTGCCAGGGGCCCTGAATATAGCTGGGGCATAGATATGGCCTAACCATAGATATGGTCCGGCGGCTGAAAGGGGTTTCTGTGACCTCTCCATGGGTGATCCTCATCCGCATGGCGGCACTTTGTGTCACCGGGTTTTTATCGCTTTTGTGATATCCTGGTGGGGTGCAACTACCTACCCCCTTTTTTTTTTCTCCCAGCCTTCACCCACATAAGGTTGCAGTCTACACCAGGCTTGTTGTGAGGTCGCGCCTGGCGCCCCAATTATACCTTCCTATGAGGTTGAACGAGCTGTTTAGGATCTGCCCTAGTGACCTGCCATCCAGACTGACAAACTTTCAAGTAAAGTAAATAAGTAAAGGAAACTTGTCCATGCCTTCAGGCATATTGGGCATATAGGGTTAGACCTATATTTTATAAACCAAGAGGCACTCAGTGAGTGATGCGGTCAACATCACGTCGACCGCCTTTACTTTCCGAGATTTTACCTGGTACCCAATTAGGGCTTCGACGACCTGAGGGCCAAAGTCATTTA